TAATTGTGAATCAATCATAAGCTTTTAAGCAGTAGTTAATTCTGTTGATTGGAAGTGTGTCTTCTTTTATTGTCATTGTTGTTTCATCACTGTTGTGATTGAAAGGGATTGAGAAAGGTCTCATACCTAGGCGAGTCTTAGGTAGACGTTAATCACAGGTAGTGATTAGGCGAGTATATTGTAAATTGGAGATAATTTGTTAAGGATCTACAAACTGATACTATTTAGTAGGTTTCATCCCTGGCTTGATAGCCCCCATAGTAGGTATTATTGTACACCAAATTGGGTTAATAACTCTGCGTGTTCTTTTAATTTCAGTAATCTTAAATTATTTACATTGTCATTGTGTTTTGATCAGATATCAGTGTCTCGACATCTAATATCTGTATACCAAAATTTCAATTGGTATCAGAGCAGGCATCCTGCTCTGTATCTGGGTTAAATTCAGGGAAGATACTTTCTGGTGCAATGGACAATGAAGGAGTATTTGTTATTAAGCTACATATTTGAGTACTTTATTTTCTTCTGATCCAATGTTTATGGGGAGAATTAACCACTAACTGATGGAACTGAAGCTGGCTGCTATTGAGGGGGAGAATTCTGATTCTCTGAATTGTTTCTTAGTAGGATTGGGTTTTTGTGAAGAGATGTCAGACATGATGTCCTGACATATATGACTGTCTGAGAATTTATTTTTCTCAATGTTTATGTGTTTGTAGATTCCACTGACTAATACTTTGATTTTTTTTGCCACTGCTTATATCTCTAATATTCTGTTGTGTGTATTTGATTTAGTTTCAAACCTATGTTATTTTGCTAGAATATGAATTGTGGTATTTGTGTGCAAGGATTATAAATTTGTTTTAGCCAAAATTTGCCAAAGGGGGGGGGGGGGGGGAGATTGTTAATTCTCTATTTTTATGATTGGCATTAATTTTGATAAAACTAAGTTGGCAGCAAAATGTTAAATAAGATGTTCTAACTTGCAGAAAAAATATGATGGACAAGATGTCCTACCCAGATCATTCGACATTGTGTCTGTTACAACTGTGCATTTGGATATATTTGGTTATAACAAATTCAAAATATTATGTGAATATTATGTTATCCCAGGTGGCGTCCGAGACTGAGGAATAAGAGATTCTATTTCTATTTGAATTTAAAAGATTATTTTGTTTTTCTAAATGTTGAGACATTTTAAGAAACATTACATTGAAGGCCTATGTTTTGCAGAAGATTCTGCAAATATTTAGTAGCAACACTACTACGTTTTTGAAGCCCAAAATCCAGATCAGGCGTTGCTTATAAAAGGAAGTCCCTAAACCTAAAGAAGATACGAGCTACATATGTAAAATTTTCAATTATCAGGTCTTCGTCTGTTCATTGTTAATTGTGAGCCACTCTTATACTATTTGATGCTCGAATTGGACTGTTAGTAGAGTTGTAATTATTAATCACTCATAAGCTTTTAAGCAGTAGTTGATTCTGTTAATTATAAGTGTGTCTTCTTTTGTTTTGTCATTGTTGTTTCATCACTGTTGTGGTTAAAAGGGATTGCAAATGGTCTCATACCTAGGTGAGTCTTAGATAGAAGTTAAGCACGAGTAATGATTAGGTGAGTAGATTGTAAATTGAAGATAGTTTGCCGAGGATCTACAAACTGATACTATTTAGTGGATTTCGTCCTTGGCTTGGTATTCTCCATAGTAGGTGTTGTTGTACACCGAATTGGGTTAACAACTTTGCACGTTCTTTTAATTTCAGTAATCTTAACCGTGTTTACATTGTCATTGTGTTTTGATCAGATATCAGTGTCTTGACATCTGATAGAATATCTGATATATGTATACCAGAATTTCACTATGGTTGTGCTTGGGTGAAGAGATCACTCATACTTCCCACTCCTTTTAAACACAACATTTGTAGAACATATTGCCCGTCCTCAAGTCCTTCTCGAATACCCAACACTTCAGACCGACGTTAAATCCTCCTTTTTTGTGACTACCTTATTAAACATGTTAATTTACCCATATATGGTCTCCTTATTATTTATGTCGATTCCACTAAGGATGACTATTATTTTTGGGTGATGTTTTAGTGCCATGAATTTCTTTGTGAACTCATAGCATAATTTTCTCCAAAAGTTGACGAATTTGTCTTATAATGTCTTGAACCACCCATAACAACCGTTTGAGAGTCAATACAAAAAACTTATGCTTTACTACACTTTTGGCATGATGATAATCAAGCGTCATGTTCACATGTTATACATGTTCGTCTGAGCCTTTGGTATCATCATAACTGTCAAATTTTAATTGTTTCTCTAGAGACTTAGGGATATTGTAGTCAATAATATATTTAGCAAGTTAACTATTTTGGCGGTGAGTAAGAGCATAACGATCGAAGACAAGCTCATCTCCTATTTGGGAGCGGTGCATAAGAAGTCTTTTGGGATGTTGTTCTTAAAGAGGAGGAGAATTTAGGGCATGGCGTTAATGATGGTAATACCCTGATGGTTCATGCATTTTCTTTAGCTGAGAGCGAAGATTGACCCCAAAGTTACTGTGTTATGGCACCTTTAATTGAGTAGCGATTTGTGAAAGAAATCCCTGTTTTATTGGTGTATCATGTTATAGATGCTCGTAACGAGTTCGTTTGCACTCTGCATTCCAAGTGTGACATAGAGTTGTTGGATATTTTGAGATATTTATGGCTCTGATAATTGTAATTGTGGTAAAGGTAGAAGTTGTTTGAATGTTTAACCTTAGAATTATTGTTGAAGTAGTTGGAATGACAACATGACTTGGAAAGTTCCATATTTGACCGATTGAAAGGTCGGGATATGACTAGATACAACAACTAGAGAAGTCATCATAATATGAATATCTGCTTCGGGTGAGGGCCAACACTATATTATCTTGAATGACTTGGAAGGATGATAAGACGTCGGGTGTAAGGGTAACGATGTGATGAATCATGGATTAAGTCACTTTAAAGGCTACCATTGATGACATTTGCAAAAATTAACCCCAATCTAATCGGTTAATAGAAACTATTACGACACCACAACAAAGATAAGAAAGAAATCTGGCGAGAGTCAAGAGACGATTTCTACAGATGCAACCACTATTTTGGTGCGGAACAAAAAACTAGTATTAAACTAGTGATGTTTACCATATAAAATTTCTAACATGACAATAGTTATCTCCGATGGTCGGAGGAGAGTGTACTTGTAAGATTATTTTTCATAGAGACAGAATTTTCAAATATGTTATGTAACATACCTTGATTGTTATTCAACCTAAATTTTAATTTTTAAAATACTTTAATCTTAAAGGACATATGTTACATGTTTTTTTAGTCCAAGACATGTCTCATAATATGCGGGAAACTCTTTCTAAAAGATTTAACATTGTTGTGTGTCTAAGACTGTGGATTCGAACCAATAATCTTTAATTATGTTAGAAGAGACTTCAACCATCCCATCCAAGGACTATTAAATTACATATTTTCATTTTACTAAATATGTTAGTTTATTTTATAACTAAAAATTTTAGAGAATTATTTTTAGTAAAATAATTAATATATATATATATATATATATATATATATATATATATATATATATATATATATAATATTTTTATGATGAATACTAAGCCGTGTTTGAATTAAGACGAGTCGTTAGACTAATTAACTCCATGGTTTAGGCAACATTCCTACGCAAATTTAGTATATAAAAAAGGTAACAAACAAGTTAGTACAAAATAAGTATATATAGTAGTATTATACACATTGCAATGAATGAGTATCTATTTGCTTTTAACTTTTTCTTGCTACTTATTACGCCTCACACACACAATCTCTGCCCATCCGTTTATGTGGCAGGCTTTCTCTCACACTCTCACTCACTATCATTTTCTTCCATACACTAATATTATTGTTTCTAAAATTAATCTTTTATTTAATCAAATTTAATATAATTTTTAATGAATCATTTATAGAATTATATTTATAGCAATTTTTGATGTGTGTTTTGTGATTTTGATTATACACCAAAAACCATAATAATGAAATCCAAAAAAGATTTTTCTCATATTTTCCTCACACACTCCGTACTCTGACAACGACCACTGGAGGATGGTGGCACATGCCTGCTGTCACATCACCCTCAAACCAACGCTTCAGATCAACCCGTACGGAAGATCCAACGGCTCATCTCAATTCACTCCAACACTCATTTTCTCTCTCCTCTCACCTCTGCACCCATGTCCCATTTTGGTCGGGTCCCCCTTTATATATGGCAAAGACTCATCTTTTAACTTTTTTTTCTCTCTCTCTCTTTTTTCCACTGTGCATTTCAAACCCAAAAATCCCTCACTCGTGTCTCTATCAGAAAGTGATTGGCCACAAAAGAAGGACTTTACTTCTACACTCACTTTGTATTTTTTTTTTCTTTCACATTCTTCAATTTCATTCTCTTCTGTTCCTTTCATGGCGATCTTGAACAACGTGCCACCTTTGTTCTTGTTTTTGTTTATCTTGTTACTTGGTTTTTTCAATTGGTTTCTACTTTTGGGTCATACCCTTGCTTGACCCTCCTTCTTCTTTCTTCTTGTTTTTGTTCTTCTGCTTAAATCTTAGTATTCAATAAAACAAAGTTAACAAAAAGCCTTTTTGCAAACAAGGTTCCTTACTTTTTTTTTTTGTTTTTTTTTTTGTTTGGTGGGGTTGTTTGTTTCTTCATCATTTTGTAACTATTCACATGGATCCCATGTTGTTGGTTTTTTAAGGTAATGTTTGATTTTTGAAATTAGTGTTTTTCTTTTCTTGTTGGGATGGAGTGCATTGGAAAGTGGGAGAGAGGAATGAGTGAATGCAATAATGGGTTTGAGGAAATTGAGGATGGGGACTATGAGTTAGGGTTCAATGTGTCTGTGTGATTGCTAAAAATTGTGTATTTAAAAAGAAGAGAAACAAAAAAGGGGGTAAAGCTTGTTATGAAGCTTTCAACATCAGGAATGAGTCAGCAGGGAAATGAAGGTATCATTTTCTTTTCGCTTGTCTTAAAAAACAATATTTTGCATCCTATTCTGACCTCTTTGTTGGGGGGTCAACTTCAAGTTGTTATATACATGTCTATGGATATTGAATTGTTATATGACTATGTGTCATTTTCAAGAAAACCCTTTTGTTTATGGTTCAACATCATTCTTATGATTGTGAGTATTGTTTCCTTATTTGTTTGAGATAATTTGATGTGTGGAGTTATGGTACTAGGAGGGGAGAAGAAGTGTTTGAATTCTGAGCTATGGCATGCATGTGCGGGTCCCTTAGTTTCCCTACCGACTGCTGGGACTCGTGTGGTTTACTTCCCTCAAGGTCATAGTGAGCAGGTGCTTCATTTTTTGAACTCCATTTCCTACTACACTCCTTATGGTTTCAATTTTGTCTAGTCTTGCATGGTTTGGAAGTTGAACTTAACTTTTGCTGAACAATGGTTCTAGGTTTCTGCCACAACTAACAGAGAAATTGATGGTCAAATACCGAATTACCCGAGCTTGCCACCGCAGTTGATATGCCAGCTTCATAATGTTACAATGCATGTGAGTATTAATATCGTACTATATCAGCATTGATACTTCACATCAATGGCGTGTTCGGCGTCCGATACTTGTAGTTAGTTACATTCAAATATTGCATCTTCTCATATTATTACTAGTGTTGTGGCCGGTGTCTTTGCTTGTGTCTGGGCTTCATTGTAGTTATATCTTCCATCAAAGTGAATGAATTCAGTTAACCAGAGTTTGTGTTAATTTTCAGGCAGATGTTGAAACAGATGAAGTGTATGCTCAAATGACGTTACAGCCGTTGACTCCGGTATTTTATTCTTTGACAGCTTGTTTTTGTTTGTAATGTAACTGAAGGTTTTTTTTTTTTTTTGGTTATGGAGTTTGAAAATGTGTTTGTAACTGTTGTAGCAAGAGCAGAAAGATACGTTTCTTCCTATGGAATTGGGGATTCCAAGTAAGCAGCCTTCGAATTATTTTTGCAAGACATTGACTGCGAGTGATACAAGCACACATGGAGGGTTCTCTGTTCCTCGTCGTGCAGCGGAGAAAGTTTTTCCTCCATTGGTAGTGTCCATAATTATTTTTCATTTGTGTTTGATTTTAGTTTGATATGGATATATTTCTCTTTTATTTGGGCTGTATAGGATTTCACACAGCAACCTCCTGCACAAGAACTGATTGCTAGGGATCTCCATGATGTTGAGTGGAAGTTTCGACATATTTTTCGAGGTGAATTTCTAGTTCTTTGACGACTCCATTCATGATATCTTGTTGGTTTGGTTATGTTGAAATTCTATAGTTTCATTGTATGTCGACTTTCCCATGACACTTCACACAAAACAAAACTCCTATTATGTTGATAACTTGTTTTTAATGTTGAGTTGTGGCTTGCGACTTGCTTGTGCATTCTTATTGCAGTTTAATTAAATGTTAGTTGTAATTTTAAGCTTATTTTGCTTATTCGGGACACTTAATATGCATGATGTATATATTTGGCATATCACTATGAGTTGAAGATCCAGGAAATCTCCTATTTTCAAATGCATTAGAACTAGATACTATAGAAAAATGTATTTTACGAACATCTGTACACATAATGAACTCGTTAAACACACTATCTAATTTTCCTAATATATGTGGAAATCGTTAAATGGGCTTATATAAAGGGACAAAGGTAGTAATCGTTAGCAATTTTCATTTTATGCCTATAACTAATATTATGGATGTATAAGGAAAATTCTTAACCTCAAAATTACAACTAAGCACCTTTTAGGAAAAAAAAGTCCATAAAAATGAAAGCTTCTTTTCAAATTAATATATGCGTTTGTTAACTTTTTCAAATATACTTAAAAATGAATAATACTTAAGTGACCTGAACATGGTTTTTATCCAAATTAATAAGCTTAATATGGAACTTTACTGTTATAATTTCAAAATATAATGCTATTGTAAGAAATAATGCATGTTTGGATTGATGGTTAGTTTGGTGAGATTACAGTGGCACCATAATTTTGTTGAAGTTCAAAAGTGTAGCTTTTGCTATAACCATGATAACACACCATGATTCCGCCGAACTCACTTACAATCCAATCATGCACCAAGTCTTTTGGGAGTAATTACTTCTCACTACATTATTGCCGAAGGTATTAACAAGCTTTAGAATCACTCAAACTGTGTATTATCTGATAACTGATAAAAACCGTTATTGTTCTGTTAGTAAAGTCTATTATTAAATTGGGCTTCTTAGGAAGTTGGTCATATTTAAAGAGATTGATTTGAATCCTTTTGGAGTAAGAAGATCTGCCGGATAAAAAAAACTCAACATAATTGAGTATCTAGCTCTGCCACTTATTGGCTACCCTTACATTGCCAATAATCTTTCAGTTTGATGCCGAATGAATTGATATTTGTATGTGAAAGTTTAATAGTATTTCACGAAATGTCAAGCAAACTTCTAAGTTGCCCGATAACTTTTTTTTTTAGTAAATACAACTAATTTTATTGATTTTCCAAATATGCTAATGAATCTCTATATAAGTTCAATTGCATACCGGGCTATCCAAATCTTCAAAACTAGTCAATTTACAAACACGGTGATAAGTTTAAATTACCTTTTCCAAGGAGCATCTGCTTCTGTGGGGGAATTTCTATAACTCCAGTCTTCAGTGTTCACTTGTCTTCTTTGTTAGTGATGTTAGATTTTGTTTTGTACCTTTTCAGCGGTACTTGTTTATATCAATCATCTAAAAATTATAGTTGCATGTAATTTGTAATATTGGAGGAAAGAAATTTAATAACTGCTTACTTGAAAAAAAACCTTTTGGTTTTCTTACTACAGTTTCTAACATATAACAGATTTACTATAAATGAATTTGCCTTTGTTCTGGTTTCAAAGTTGATGTTTCCATTTAAAAACAAAAATACAACTCTAGATGTATTTATGTTTTTAAAATTTTAGGTGCTGTGCCGAAGTTATTATGAATCACACTCTTATTTGACATGAGATTGTTATCCTGATTGTTATTGTAATTCATGTGAGATATGATATCTCTATTGCTTTCCTTCCTAATCATTTCAGGACAGCCAAAACGGCACCTTCTTACAACAGGCTGGAGTGTATTTGTTAGTGCCAAAAGACTTGTAGCTGGAGATTCTGTGCTTTTCATTTGGTATTAGTTTCGTTTCACATTTTCGGATACCTTTTATTCCCCTTTGATGCTGCAAATGGCTTGTTTGTTGTTTTTATATGTATATTTTCATTATTAATAGGAATGAAAAAAATCAGCTTCTTTTGGGAATACGTCGAGCCAGTCGGCCGCAAACTGTTATGCCGTCATCAGTTCTTTCCAGTGATAGTATGCACATTGGGCTTCTTGCAGCTGCAGCCCATGCTTCCGCAACTAATAGCTGTTTTACGGTGTTCTTTAATCCAAGGTTGTGTTTGTTTTCAGAATCTATACTTTTGACACTTATTAGAAATTATAACATATCTTTTGAAACCTATGTCATGTGCAGGGCTAGTCCTTCCGAGTTTGTCATACAACTTTCAAAATATATCAAAGCTGTTTACCATACACGTGTTTCTGTTGGTATGCGTTTTAGGATGCTTTTTGAGACTGAAGAATCAAGTGTGCGCAGGTACTTGTTGCCATCAGTTATTGATTTTGTTTTGAATTGTACATACAATTTTGTGAGGATTGTTGTATGTTACCTTTACTTATACACAAGTCACCTTGTAATGAAGGTACATGGGTACTATAACTAGCATAAGTGACATGGATCCTGTTCGGTGGCCGAATTCTCATTGGAGGTCTGTCAAGGTAAGTAAGACCGTCACATTGTAATGCATAAAATTAGCTAGCAGTTTATATGAAAATGTTCCTTTGAAATGTAAGACTAAAAGACCAAGAACCTAGTATAATGGTAAGTCTCCTGTCTTGGGGCTGTCATTTCCAGGCCCTGTTCAGATAAATAACTAAATTAAGTGTTTATAGTATAAACATTTATCATATCAGTACTTATGTATAAGCTGTTTCTATAACAAGATAAAATAAAATCCTAAGTTTTTACGTTAGCTATAAGCTGTTTTTATAACAAAAGATAAAATAAAATCCTAAGTATTTACATTGGCTATAAGCTGTTTTCATAAGCTATTCTAGAGATTTTATGGAAAAAAATATGCTGAAAACAACTTATGGACATCTCATAAGCTGTTTCCGTAAGATCTTGCAAAGAGTCTCACAAGTGCTTATATATTGGTAGGTAAACTCAAATAAGCCAATCCAAATAGTCTCTAAGTCATGAATGGTCTGTCTATCTCTACATCCATAGGTAAAAAATGTGTGTAGAGGCCATAGAGATGAAGAAATTCTCGAACCCTTGTTTGATTACTTAATACTCGAAATTTCTAATCATGTTTCATGAAGTATACCTTGTGTTCCTTTTTTCTTCATTAAGCCATAAGATTTTTGCAATGCCTCTTGATTACTACCTGCATCACTTTTGTGATTTTTGTTGACCTTGATCAACTAGCTAATTTTTTGTTAACATAGCCTGCAACACACAATGCAAATCATATTCAAATTTATCTTGGCTTGATCCGCATGCCAATAGAGTTCTTAATCTTCCAATACTAAAGTTTGATAGCAGAACTTATCTTTTTTTCTGCAGCTTTTGTTTCTGCGGCCACTTATTATTAATATTGATGTATACCTGAAAAATTATGCTGAGAGATAGTGATAGCATGACTTGATTTTAATAGGTTTCAAGGTTTCATCATAATTTGTATAGCATGCATTAGAATAGTTTCTATGAATTTCGTTCAATGTTTTTATAAATGACTTTTAACCTGTTGATCTTGTTTCTTCCATTGTGCATAGGTTGGTTGGGATGAATCAACAGCTGGAGAGAGACAGCCTCGAGTATCATTATGGGAAATTGAGCCTTTAACTACATTTCCAATGTATCCATCGCTATTTCCCCTTAGATTGAAACGACCATGGCATCCCGGAACTTCTTCTTTTCTCGGTACATATGTTTAATACTTTTTTATTGGGTTATCTCCCCTTAACTGTAACCTCCATTGTAGACTCCGTGTCATAGTGATACTTGGATTAAAGAAACTATTTTGCAATTGTCTCCCATACTTATCCCCTCTTCCATATAAAGACAAATTACTTATTTCTACAAAAAACTTTCCTCTATCCTTGTTGTTTTCTTTCTCAAAATAAACACAATATAAGCTTGTTGCATTGTATGAATATTTTAACGGATCATATGTCCATCCTCCTTTCGTTGTTGTCCAAAACACAAGGGGATTTAATATCATTATGAAAATTGGCTGGGGTGGTTTTGAGGACAGTTCTCTTGTCTCCTTTCTTTACAAAGGATGTTGTTACAGATGGCAGAGACGACGCAACAAATGGACTAATGTGGTTGCGAGGCGGTCCCGGAGACCATGGTCTTAATTCCATGAATTTTCAAGGTGCTGGTTTGATGCCCTGGATGCAGCAAAGACTCGATCCCGCCTTACTTGGAAATGATCATAATCAGCAATACCAAGCCATGTTAGCTGGTGGTGGTGGTTTGCAGAATCAAGGGAATGCTACTGATCTGTTAAGGCAACAAATGATGAGTTTTCAACAACCTTTCAATTATCTTCAACAATCAGGAAACCTCAGTCCTTTGCAGCTTCAGCAACAGCAAACAATTCAACAGTTCGCGACAAATAATATCATGCAACCACAAAGTCAAGTATTGGCAGAGAACCTGTCTCAGCACATCCTTCAGAAACCACACAACAATCGAGAAAACCAAACACAACAACCACAACAGCAGCAAACTTATCAAGATACACTTCTAATTCAAGGTGATCCACTCCATCAGAAGCAACACGCAAGTTTGCCTTCACCGTCATATTCGAAACCGGATTTCTTAGATTCAGGCATGAAGTTTGCTGCTTCGGTTTCGCCGGGTCAAAACATGCTTGGTTCACTTTGTTCTGAAGGGAGTGGCAATCTCTTGAATTTATCAAGTGGTCATTCTGTGCTGACTGAACAGTTACCTCAACAATCATGGGCATCAAAGTATTCACCTTCACAGATCGATGGCATTGGAAACTCAATGTCGCACGTGCAGTATTCCGGAAGAGATACATCACTCGTGCCACCACATTGCAACTCAGATGCCCAAAATTCTGTTCTGTTTGGGGTCAATATAGATTCGTCTGGCCTTCTGCTCCCTACCACTGTTCCTCGTTATTCTACTGCACCAGCTGATGCCGATGCATCGACAATGCCATTAGGAGAGTCTAGTTTCCAGGGTTCTCCATATCATTGCATGCAGGATTCATCAGATCTGTTGCAAAGTGTGGGGCAAATCGATGCTCAAAACCAGATGCCGACATTTGTGAAGGTCTTGTTCATATATATACATTAATCTTAGGCTCTTAGCCACAGTTTTCCGAGCCTTTCTTTTATTAAAAGCTAAAATGATTGCTTACTTTGTCTTTTTAACAGGTATACAAATCAGGTTCAGTAGGGCGCTCCCTAGACATCTCGCGGTTCAGCAGCTATCACGAACTGCGGGAGGAGTTGGCCCAGATGTTTGGAATTGAGGGGAATTTTGAAGATCCTCTTAGATCAGGCTGGCAGCTTGTATTTGTCGACAGGGAGAATGATGTTCTTCTCCTTGGAGACGATCCGTGGGAGTAAGTATAAATTTCAAATTGATACAATAGTATAAACTAATGTTTCAAAAATCTGACTAAAACCAAACTGGCGATACCTGATACCTCCAACTCATGGTTCAGTCAGTTAATCCATTTAACAACAATTTAATCGAATGGCATAAATAAACAAATAATTAGAAAGAAAAAGAAGTAAAAAAATGTTAATGTTAATGCCCATCCCACAAAAAATTGAGGGTAGGGCGGGCCCGCGGGCTCTGCACTTTTAAAGCCTAAAAATTGCAAGAAATAATGTTAATGCCTGTGCCCACAAAAAATAGGGTGGAGCAAATGTATTAGAGGGTGCGAGTCTAAAATCTTGTTTCGCCCTGTGATAAGTGCTGGCATGCCCGGCGGGCCGGATTCGTTTTTCCACCCTTAGATCAAACCAACCGGCGAACTGGCCGTGGCGGTTTGATCTGGTTTGTAAACATTGTTATATACTGAATAATTGAATATTGATATTCTTCTATACTATAGGCAACTATTTATTTCACTTGACTAAAGTTGTGACATGTTTTTTTTTTGTTCTGTGGATAACCGTTTGTAGATCATTTGTCAATAATGTTTGGTACATCAAAATACTTTCTCCTGAAGATATGCAGAAAATGGGAGAACAAGCCATTGAATCCCTTGGTCCAAGATCTGGACAAAGGCAGAGTAACACTGGTGCAGAATCTCATGACATTGTTTCATCATTAGGCTCACTCGAATACTGAGATGATATCATAATGTATTGCTTCAGATTCCACGGTCTCGACAATTACTACCACCACTACTACTACTACAACATGTTTGTTAGTTATGTTTGAACATTACACATCAACCTTGCATATTTGAATATATTTTATGTATTGTCTATTCGACTATTACTGTTATTATTTGTTCGAGGATTGTTGAATGAAACTATCGAAAAAGATGAGAAACTTAGGACAAACTTTTGTCACAATTTGTAAACTTCTGTACCTAAGCAGAAACATATTGTTACTGCCATTCTGCCACTGTAGCATTTGATTAACCTTGGTGATCTTTGCTGTTTTGACTTTCGATTTGTATAACCAACTAATTAATTAACTAACTTTTATATTTTATTAACCTTTCACAAACTCATAGTAAGGTGGGGTTCTTTTCTAGGTTATAATCTTATGTAGAATGAGTTAGGGTTCTTGCATTTTTCATGTAGGTCACTCTATTAGGTATTAGATTGAAGTTTTCCTATGTTCTATTATTAGTTTGAACTCCTTGGAGTGAAGTGAGAGAGAGATCTGAATTATGTGTTGTGCAGGTGAAGAATTGAGAATTACTTGAAAAATTACAGTTGTAATTCTAAATTACCGCTTGATCGTAATTATTTATGTTTCGTGTGGGTTTGGCCCGCTGAGGAAATTACAGCTGTAAGACAAAATTATGGGCTGCTCGTAATTCTATCTGGTGTGCGCCTACCCCACATTTCAAGCTTCATATCTTACATGTCATGGAGGGGATGGAAACCCTAAGTCTTGTAGCGATATCATAGGCACGAACCTAAGTTATGAACGTAACGTTAATTTGTTTAATACCATAGTGAAAAATGTATAATTGTTATATGAATAACGCTTATAAAAAAATGTATATACTTGTTTTTTCATATTTTCAGAAGTGTTTTGAATCTTTTGTGAACACTTGTAATGATTTATTTCACTTTTTATCTCATTCTTTCTTCATTGTTGTATGGATCTAAATCTCATTTTTATAGATTAGTGATTTTCAATGATATTTATTTTTGAATTTAATTTTTATTTGAAGAGTTGATTAGGATTTTAGAGGTTTGCAAGATATGCGGTGTTTGGTGTTGTGAATGATTATGACAATTCTAATAGAAAAAAAAAAGAGGTTCTTCACTCTAAATTGACATTGGTAGTGCTGTGTGAAAGCTACAAATAGGATAATAGTTCTTCTAAAATCTTTAGACATGCCAACGCTTAAGATACCAGTGAAATCAAATAAAGATTGTCGTAGAATGAAGACATATGAGCAATTTGTTGGGTGTAATACGGTGGGAGAGCTGGCTTGATGGTTTTGCGTTTTAACGCAATTGTTGCGGATAGCAAGAGTCGCCACCAACTTTTCTTTTATCCAATAAAGGAAAGGGTGAAAAGAACAAGAAAAACCTTTTGAGTATTTTCTTGAGTTCGGGGTGTAGGTTATGAAAAAGCAAGTTATTAGCACCCTTTTCATCCGTAGTTATCTACGAGTTCTTAGTTGCTAGCTCACTTTGAAAATGTTTTGTGAAATGTGTTTGTGTTTGTTTGAAAATATTTTTGAAAAGTGCATTTGTTTAGGCGAACTTTGTAATGATTCTCGTCTCTATAAGAATGTATACAAAGTGTTGACTTTTGAAAATATTTCATGAAAGTGTTGGTGTGTTTGAAAGATGTTTTGTTTTGAAATGTTTGTGAGCAAGCAACTACGAGCGTTCTACCTACTCAAAAGAAAGTCTTTGTTCTTTTCCTCCTCCTTTAGATAGTGTTATCTTACCATTAGTTAGTAAGAAACCATATCATTGGATGTGAGGGACAGACGTGGGTCATCGTACAGTCATAGAAGGCAACTTGTAAAATGTTTTAGCAATTGTTTGTAAGGGACTAAGATCATTTACCGAAGGCAACATTTAAAAGGTCATTGGGAGACTTTGATCTTTTAATCGAGGGTCTTTTCCTAAAACATCCCACGTTCGAGGGACATGATTGTTTTATTCGAGACAACCAGTGTAAGTTAACCCTAGAGATGCATGTGTACAAAGTGTGTTGTTTTCATTTATTTTGTCTTGAATTAAGATTATCTAGTATTGATTTTAAGTCTTGCCATACAAACCCTAATTTACTAGCAATAATATGGAAAATGGTAAATTGAGGAATTTAAAAGTTCTACGCTATTATATCATTTTAGGGGATGAGGAATACAAATTTATAAATGGGGAAGAAAGCAATTAGAACCTAATTACTATTACAATCAAATTGAATAATGCAAAAATAAAATGTACAAGAATATAACGATAATGTAAAATAAAATAAAATTATTTTTATGGTTTTTGCTATGAAAAAGTTTTAATTAATCTAATTGATTTGAAAAGAAATTAATAAAAATTCTAACGTCTAAATTAATTTGATTAAAAGAGAAAATCAAAATAAAAACTTAAGTTTAACTTGGTTTAATTAATTTAAGAAAGAAAATATTTTTATGATTTTTGTTATTTATAAAATAAAGTAATGTAGGGATAAAATAAAAATATATTTTTTTATTTAATTATTTATGAGAATATATTTAGTATATTTTTTTGATTGAAAATAATAATAATAAAATAAAATAAAAAAAGAAAATAAAAATAACATAAAAAATATAAATTTAGGAGTCACGTGGTTAGAAAAAAAATTAGGAGGTTAGAAAGTAAAATAGTTTTTGTTTAGGGCCCAAACCGATTTTTTGTTAGAAATAAAAAAAAAATAAAAAAAAAAAGAATATGGGTCTGCGTGGTATGAAGCAATCAGGGGGTGAGGGGAAGAAAAAAATGATGGCCCATCAGGAGGGAGGCCCAGGCGCACTGTTTGAACAAAAAAAGAAACAAAACTATGTGAGAAAAATAACAAAATGGGACACTGGGGCTCGAACCCAGGTCCCTATATACCAATGCCTTATACGCGCTCCTCTTGTCACTAGGGTGACTGTTTCATCCGTGTATAAAACAACAACTAATAAATATAAAATAAACTGAGTTCTAAAGGGAACTTCATCTTCTTCCTCGCGCCATCCCCTGTATCAAATTTTTTGAAAATCGTATCTTGCTCATCTCTCAACCATTTCAGAAATTGTAAACATCAAACTTGTTAGAAATTTCACCACGATTTTAAATATGTAAGCAACTTAAACAATGGATCATAGATGAGCACGAATTTTACTTGGTACCAAATCTGACATAATTTTTTCTAGAAAGTTCAAGCTTGAAATTCACACAACTCAGGCAATATAAATGAATTCTAAGGACATGGCTAGTTTCAGGGCTATAATGTCTACATTTTATCTTTGAAAATCAAGTCAAATGATGCTTGTATGAAGAGATAGAAGTTCAGAAAACTCACCTTGCAGATGGAGATCGTGTTTTGAGTTTGAGCAATCCCTAAGATGTTGTAATGATCTGGTTAGCTTCCTTGAACCTCTAGGAAGTTAATGCAATGCTTAGCTTGAGCTGAGAGTGGCTGTAATGTCTGAGAGAAGTCAATGTGCAGGTTACTGATTTTGAAAATGGAGGATGGTGATGGAGGTGTTACAGTCGTGTAACAGGTTTTTGGTTAGGTTCTAAATGATATAGAGATGCTTTGTGATTGATTTTGAGGAAAACACACGAGGGATTTGTGAGATGGAGGTGTAAGATCAGAATCCGCATAAAAATGGTGTTTTGAGGCAATTTCTGGCTTGAGGGAGTTTGGGAGGTTTTTCAGGCTTGCAAAATCGTGTCTTAGCTTGCAAATAATGTCTCAACTTATAGGCAAAAGGTTTGAAGGCTTGGAGTGATCAAAATCACAAGATAACATGTTATAGATTTTTGGCTTGTTTTTGAAGCAAGCTTGACAAACATAGTTTCAATGCAAGGTACATAGCTATCTAGAGCGGTTAGAAAATTTAAACATGTTTATCTGCCTTTGTAGATGAAGCTTGTGCATAAGGAACAAGTGCAAAGCTCAAGACAAGTTGACTTTGTGATTAAAGCAATTTTACTAGAATGACAATGGTGCCTTTGTGCCATAAATAGAAATGCAACTTAGATAATGACTCAAATGCTTGGATCAAAGATCTAACATTTGTGTAGTCAATTAATTATGGAGTGAAAAATAAGTTAGAAGCCTGCAAAGTAAGATTATGCAGCATAGGCTAGGGTTTTGGTCAAGTGTTCATCACAAAAATGACTTGTAATTCAAGAATGGATGCCTAATTTCTTGTCTTCGATTCTCTTTGCTCAAGCATGATCTCTTCAAGTTCTTGGGCATTTTGGAAAGCTTGAAACATTGTATACAACCTTCATGTTTACCATTTTAACAAAATCAAATTGGAACTAGGTGGAAATTGGTCAAGAAGTTAGGTCAAAAATCTGCCTAAACTTGTCAAAATTTTTACTAAGTATTTTATGAAAATGTCATGACTTCATGGGCTTATATTGTCAAATCTAAGAATTTTTTGGACATCAACCCTCTAATACAAAGTTGCAGAATTCATCAAGATCTACAACTTTCATGTTGAAAGTTTTCTTTGAATCTTCTTGCATTTTGGTGAAAAAAGGTCATGAAGTAGTGAAATTATCAAGGTTTAATACACTTAGAAATTTTTCTAAGTCTTGAAAAGTTTGACTTTTTGTATTGACTTTTGACTTTATTAATTCCTTGATGATCAAGCTTCATATTTTTGAATGTCTTGATGAATCTTGACTTTTGAAACTTAATTTTGACTAAAAAGTCAAAGTTTGACTCTTGGTGTATCGATTGACTTTTTCATTAGTTGACCAAACTTCAACTATCAATTGTTTGATCTTGGGAAATATTTTGAACCATGAAATTAGGCTAAGATTTTGTACTTGAATTCTTAAGATTATGCTTCAAGTCATTAGATCATGTATTAGGTCAAAATTCAAAAATCAGTCAATTTAAGTCAAAATCTTAATTTTGACCATTTTGCCCATTTGATGATCTGA